TTGATGATCATCTAACTCTACAGATAGGCAAAGAAAGAAAAACACTGCTTAAGAACCTGGAGTTGAATGTAAGAATATTTACTTAGTATATTTTGACATGTGATGTTCACAATGTGTTTAATGGTTATAAAACTAGCTTTTTGAATCTCCGTGTCTGCTGATTAAATATTTTTTGGTCTGGCCCCTCCTACTGTGTGGCCATAATTTCCCACGACTGAAAACTTAAATAGATAAAAATAGAAAAAAAGACTTTAAAATAAACTATGTTACTGCCAGTCAAAATCATAAAAAATAAAAATTTAACACTGCCAAGCCTGACTCTAGTGAAGGGTGCCTGCCACTTTCCATTATACGACTGTTTTCAGTTGCTTGTAACTTTGTAAGACTGTTTGGTTGAGACTTCCCAGGGTGGAGGTTTCTATTTTGGAAACCTTCAGCTAAAACAGTTCAGCTGTTTCTGATGACAAGTTTAGGAAAAAACTTTGTTTTGCCCAAACTGGAAAAAAATTCGTACAGCTGTTAAACTGAGTCTAGTGCCTCCATGCTTCAGGTTGGGGACTAGAATTTTACAGCTGGGGATCCGAGGCAAAGAGATTAAGGTCAAGATTATCATCAAGCGTCCACCAATTTTGGGTGCCCGGTTTTGGAAGCCTACCCCCTGATCTTCCAGAGAACGTAGCCTCATGCAGCATTTGAAATGCTGAAAGCACAACTCCAATTCACTCTGGCTGCAGATCTGAGCACTCAGCACCTCTGCCAACCTGGTCTCAAGTGTTCTTGTTTTCTGGGTGCCTTGTTTGAGACCACAATTCTGGTCATTCCAGCCCGACGTTCCCAGCATCATATTCCTTCTCTCCCCATAATTCCCTGCCTCTTTTACTACACACCCTTCCACTGCAACAAGTGAGGCAGGGGCTGACCACAGCCTCCTTCACTACATTACCCTATTACTCAGCTTAGGCAGAGTACTGAATGAGGCAGGGTCCCGGGGAAGCAACGGCATGTGACCCAAACAGTAACACAGATTGGGAACCCTGACATAAAATACTCACTACATATACCAGAACACTAGCTCATTAATTTGCTACTAACGACCTATCCATTACCTTGATAATACATTTTATCAAGCATAGTTAATGTTTAAGGCTAAGAGATTTAGGAGAAGACCTCCTGCCCTTTGTTTACACAAGTCATAAGTACAAATAAACAACGTAAAAAAAAAAACCACCCGTTATCATTCAGCTGCATTTATTATTCTAGTCAGAGCCCGTCTGTGTCCCTCTCCAGCTGAGCTCCTGTGCCATGTGGAACCTGCCAGCAGGCGCCTTCAGTAACCTGTCGAGGTTAAAAACAAGAACGGGGGTTTAACGGCAGCATGAAGACAGGGCTTACTAGCACTGTGCTACTCCCGAGTTTAAAAACCAACATCCACAAGTCTAAGTGAGTGGAAGAGGTCAACTGCTTAGGGCCAAAGGAGGAGACCTGAAATGAGCTGATGCGTGGGGTGTGGAAGGATGGTGAGCGTATCACCTGGATTCTACACTGACTGGGGGAAACCCCAGCCTATTGCATATGATCCCGTCACAGGGAAGCCCACCAGAAGGTAAAACATGCACCCAGAGCTCAAAGAGTGGGTGCTCCAACACTGTAGGGGGGAAGCGGAGTTGTGCGTGCAGGATTTTTCAAATCAGCGCTGGCCAGACTCTGGTGATAAAGCTTCGGGGGGAGCCACGTTAGCCAACGCTGAGTGCCCGGGTACAGGAGGAGGAGGAGTTTGGGCCTATGAGAAGGGGAAGACTGATGAAGCCAGGAAAGCCTACACAGAACCTGGCTCGTGCTAGCAAAGGACCGTCCCCGGTACGAGTCACAGGGCCCTATTCCCACTGTAGGGACCAAGTAGCTTTTGGCTCATCTCAACCTTTAACAGGCTGAATACAAACACCTGAGAGCAGGAACAGCCACTCACCAATGGTTTACATGGCACCCAGTACAACAGGGCACTGCTAACACACATTCATCATCCTTATAAACCCCCACCTCAGAGAGGCTGCAATGAACCGCCAGCAGTAACTGCCACAGGGATTTTCAGTGGACGTCTGCTCTCTCAAGCCCCTGGCCCAGGTATCCACCAAATTTGGGCCACCCTCTCCCCCATTCTGTACCTACACACCAGAGCCCAGGGCCAGGGAATTCTCTGCTCTTCCATTGGGGCAAGCCCCGTGTGTGCATGGGGGCAGGATTCTCCCCCCTTTCCTGACCTCCGGAGAGAAGACAACAGAGCTCTAAAAGCCCGACAGGCACATGCCACATTCCAACCCTGGAGGGGAGACGCCTGTTGTAAGCAGGCAGGGCAACCTTGTGATCCCAGCCAGGGAAGCCAGGCTAGAACCCGCGAGCAGCAGGCGTGTCGGACACGTGGCTCTGCTCTACCAAACGGGGTGGCACCTGTGGCCATATCTCCTCACTCTGACACCATGTGTCCCTCCTTTCACTCCCCTCTGCCCAGGCGCAACCAGCCCAGCTGTCGGAGACTCCCGGGGGTCTTGTTCGACTCATCCCCTGCAGAGCTTTGACCCCAGCCACCCTCCCCAGCCCTCTGAAGGGAGCTATAGTGGGGTCCCCCTGGCATGCACAAGCCCACCGGGGGGCAGTGCAGGAGCTGGAAAGAACGCTGCTTGATTTTCACAGCCCCGCTTGGGTTAGCCACTGTGTTCCTTCATTTTTTCCATCCTTGGGCGGAATCAATTTTGTCATGTGCACCGAGGCTTGTGCAGATGTGCACCAATAGCATAAACGCCAGTGTAGGAGTGCTCTGCAAACCACTGGCTAGCAGGGCTGGCTCTTTACAGACATCTACTTTTTAGTTTTAGACTGAGCCACTGTGGTGCGGAGTCGCTGGGAAACCAACAGACAGACGTCCCGAGGGCTGTTTTTACCGCGTCACTCCTAACCCAGCTGCTGCCTGGGGAGTTTAAACTACAGGATGTTAAATATCGGTTCACTGACTAGTCGAGTAACCTTGTGAATTCTTATTGGTTACTCAACTATTCTACAGTCCCTGGGGGCGGGGCCGGCAGCCAGTGCGCTCCAGCCCCACTCTTGAGGAGCCCCCGTCACTGTATCAGAGGCAGCAGTGCGGAGTGGCAGTATACCCTGTCCAGGTAGGATCTGAGCTCCCAGACCTGGCGTGAGCCAGAACTGAGCCAGGCTGCTGGCCACCCTGCTAAACAATGAACTGGCAGTGGGAAGGGGAGAAATGTGTGTAGTCTATAGCATTAACCTATATGCTTTTGCTTATCGGTTAATTGTTAACCAACTATACCATTACATCCCTATTATATCGGTTAACCGACTATACGATTACATCCTACTTTAAACCCGACACCGGCAGGGCTCAATTCTCTGCAGCACACCCCCGCGCCCCTTCCCATGCGAACTCGCCTTCATGCAATGTCTGTCTCTAGGACATCCTCGGGTTTGGGAGGCAAATCTTTCTGTAGCGTTTCCATTTCTTCTTCCTTTCTCCTCCTGCGCCGCTTCCGACGGTGACTTGCAAAGCAAAACAAAAAAAAGTCAGTGATTAACCCAAGCTAACTTGGAGCAGGAATTCGCTCGCTCCAATCAGATGCATCCCTAAAGACACGCCTTTAAAATAATATTTACCGCCCACTGGAGCGCTAGGGAGCCCTCGTAACACGATGAACCCTCCAGCCCACCCAGGAGATCATTAACTAGTCTCCGCAGTTTACAGAGGGATGCGTTTGAGGTCAAAGTGACGTCTCCTGCTTGAATGAAATGAGAAGAATCCCTTGAAGTGAGGTTGTTAGTAACACCCTGGAGCCTCTTTCATCCGGCAAGCTTGGGAACCCGGGTTTGCCGGAGTAAAGATTTTGCCAGGCCAGGGAGGGAGGGAGGGGGGATGGGTGTTTATCTGGCGCTCTGTGTGCCCCCCCGCCTCCCCGCTACCAGGCACCGCCCCCACCGAAAGCCCCCAGCAGAGCGCGTCCGTTCCCCCAGCTGCGTTAGAGAGGCCGGAGCACAGAGGGTGCAGCGTATGTAAACATGCCTGATGCTTCCCTTCCCCGCCAGAGCCCCCGTGGCTCAGGGCCAAACAGACCTCCCACGTGTTGAGCACCAGGGCGATGAGCGCCACCATGGCCACTATCAGGCACACCACCACCACCTGCCCTTCGTGGCCTCGCAGGTAGAATATGTCCACGTGCTCACATCGGGCGCCGGTGTAGCCCTTCTCGCAGCTGCAAGAGGGAGGGAAAGCGGGAGAGGTGACGACTTGATGCCGCTAGGAGGACGTGGAGCGGAGGCCCGGTCCTTCACACACACAGGGACACAGTCGTCATGGGCCGCGCCGCCCGCTGCCCTGTGTGAGGGGGAGAGGACCCAAGCTCCGCACAAAACATGGCCCGGCTCGCTCTGAGGAATCGCCAGGTTACTTCCCTTCGGGGAACAGGCTGACGGGCCCCCACTCAGCTACGGCAGCCAGCATGTCCCCCTCCCCCGCCAGCTCACAAGTGGGGGTGGCAGGCGGAAAGGGGGGGCCACTCACTCACCAGCAGTCAGAACCGGAGCAGGGGGCGAGAGATGGGTCCTGACTCCCCCGAGCAAGGGCTGTGACAATCCAGCCCTCTAGGAGCCAGGATCAGGCTGCCTGTTACTATCTTTGGCAGCAAAACCTGGGGCGCAGAAGAGCCTTTGGGGGGGAACTCTGCCACCAGGCTGCTGCGGGGGGTCAGGGAGGGGTTAATGCCAAGCCGACCCTCTGGCAGTTCCAAGCTTGCTCACGTACGCTGGTGGAGCAGGTACCACTCAAAAGGTTAATACCCCACCCCTGAGCATGACCCCAGCAGCATATGGGGCACGAGCCACTGAGCGGAGACCGATGGTTTGGTTTTTCCTGCAGCTTCTTGGGCGTTGGCTCTCCAAGGAGACCTCCCTGGAATTACCTGGGGCCGCCGTGGCTCACAGCAGAGAGTGAGCAAACCCGCCCATGGACCACTCACACAACATCCATCGGATGCAGCCCAGAGCGGGGCGGGGGAGCCAGTGCATTCTGGGAAAGAGACTGCTTAGGCCAAACCCTGCACAGATTTCAGCCGGCGCTCGGATGTCTCAGGGTTAACTGCAGCGTTTGCAGGGGGGTGCCGAGTTACACAGGGCTTGGAACATGCGGCGTCACTTCCCCCTCCCCCGTGTGAAATGGCACAACTGCCAAAAAAAAAAAAATCAATCACCCTTGGCCTTTAAAAGCTTGTTTGCAGCAGAACTGGATGGCCGGATAATCGCATTAGCTGACTGGTGAGCCGGCCACTGCAAGCTCCGTCCCAGCCGCCCCGACGACGTGCTAGCAAAAAGCGGCATGACTGGAACTCACAGGAAACGCCTCCCCAGCGCTCCGGGGAAGCCAGTTCCACGCGTCTGGTCAAAGGGGCGAATGAAACCACGGCAGGTCAGGAGACAATGCGCACAGCACGACGGGGGAGGCGCCCAGGACTAAAATCTTAATCCCGCGTCTCTTTGCTTTGCCCGTTAGGCCCTGTGGGATCAATCCACTGTAATGCCTGCGAGGGACCGGCGAAAGGAGGAGCTGGCATCTCGGGGTTGAAGAAAGCGCTGGGCCCCGCGAGCCCTGCCCCGCTGTCCCTGCGGCCAATGCCAGGCCTGGAGGGAGGAGGAAAGGATGGAGCCAGGCTCAGTTTGATGCTGGCTAGCGAGGAGGCCGAAGCCCAGTTCAGCAGCCCAAGGACACGAGCCAGACCCTGTCCGCTTGGCAACAAGCCAGCCCCCACGCCTCTAGGAAAAGGGGGATCCTACCGAGCACCAATTAATGGGAATCGGGGGCTCTTGGGGCCACACCCCAGCCTTAAGGACTCAGCACAGTCCTGGGCCAGGAGCACAGGAAACAGAGGTACACCCCCCGACACTCTTTTTCCACTTGCCTACTCAGTGACCTAGCCACTAGGCCACACAGTCTCCAGCCACACATCCCTCCATCAATTGCAACGCACCCTCCGCACAGCGGCCATCCGCGGCAGGTGGGTATGAAAGGGCCTGTCTACAAAAGGGTTAGGACCAGAGTCGCTGAAGCACCGTAGGCCCCCTTCTTTTTCCTTTTGAACCAGCGCTGCAGCCAACAGGGTAGCGATGTTGGGGCACTATAAACACCTCCCTGCCTCCCCTGGGGCTTGCTTCCTTCCCCCTCCGCCCCACTTGCTCACTGAAAGCCATCAGGCAGGGAACGCTGCTGGGTGTCCACACGGCCCACCAGGAATCACAGGGCGCCACGCAAAGCCGCCTCTGCCTTTCCCCTGAGCCCCGACCGGGCGAGAGGACCCCAGCAGTATAAATACCTGCGGCCCATCTCCCACCGTGTGTACTGGCGGGGCTGCAGGAGCAACAGCGTGAAAAGTCAGACACACTCAGACAATAGGCGCGCCTGACCCCTGGGGAGGGAGTCTATTTCTGCATCCTGCCCAGGGCAGAGCCGATGGCGAACACTGTATCAATGCACAGTTGCCCAAACAGGCCACAAACCGCCGGCAGAGGTTTTGCACGTTGTTCGGGTGGATTAGGGGAAAGAGCATGATCTGACGCTCATTTATTCCCTGAGCCACAAGAGACCCCTATGTGAAGCAGGCAGCCGTCATTCCAACAGCCATTCCAGGCCAGAAAGGTGTGAATGGCTCAAAGGCCAAAAGCTGCGGGTCCCATACACCTCGAACCTGCATTCATGATCTGGAGGCAAACGTTTACCCAACCTTGCATCCCACCTTCTCCAGCTACCTTTGCAGCTGGACCAAACCAGGGAGAGGGGCAAAGAGCAGGAAGAACAGGGATCTTTGCTCCTACCCTCAATCATTCATGGGGCAGCCTGTTGCCAGTGTATGAAGCCACATCTCCACCATGCCATTAACTCCGCTGTCACTATAACTGCATCGCTTGTGCAGGGGCATTTTGTTCCTGTGTCAGCAACAAACATCCGCACCAGGAGTATTTGCATCGCTGTACTGCCAGCAAGGGAGGACTCCTGAATGCCAGTAACAGTCGACGCAAACAACGCCGCGTCCACGCGGACAGTGCGGACCTGGTCTCTGAGCCCAGCATGGAGAGGGAGTTCGAAAGGCAGCACAGTGGGTGCGTCAGTGGGAAGAAAACTGAAGCGTAGACACTTCCATAGTTAGGTCGACATAAGCTGCCTTGCGTCAACCTAGATCTGTAGCGAAGAGCTGGCCTCGGTGAGTACACGGACAAGTGAGGGAAGCACACCCTCTAGACCCCTCCCCCACAACTTGAAGCACAAGTTGTCTCACTGAGTCCCTGGAAGGTTGTCTCACATCCCGAAGGCTAACTCCATGTATTTGCTATCTTGCTCCGAGAGGAAGTCCTGGATAATGGCAGCTCAGTTGGGGCAGTGGAAAAACCTTTGCCCCCGCTTCCCAAAATCATCAGGGCTAATGATCACTTTCCACAGACTAAGACTGGTTCACTTCCCTGCTCCACAAAGACTCCTGCAAACGATGGAGAGATATATAGGCGCTAGAGAATATGAAGCACTCACACTGCGGCACTGGGGTCAGACAAGTACCTAACGCCATGTCTTCATTTCACAGACGAGACACACTGGCGCAATCCATCTCCCGGAGTTCGATTTAGCAGGTCTAACTAAGACTCACTAAAACAAACTCAGAGGGTGCCCTCCCCATGGGCAGCCCGTACTTCTGCTTCTGCGAGAAGTAGGGGAAGCCAATGGAAGCATGCAAAAAACACACTATAAAAATATAGGTTTGTTGGCTAAGCTGGATAATTCTCTCCAGCTAATTCCTGCAAGTGGAGAAATATATTACGCTGTGCGCTCACACTGGATGAAGGACAAAATCATGATTGACATAAAAGACACACAAGATACCCGGCCACATGTTTGACCACTCCAATTCAGACCCAGCTGAGTCAGCAGCCCGTCCCGGCAGAGACCGGAATGGTGGCTTTACTGGAAAAAGGCCGGGAAGCGGCACGCGGCCACGATTTGATCGGAATTTCACAGCAGCATAACTAGAACAGCAGGGGACGGATCAAACCCTTCAGGCTGCTCATGCGTGCAGTTTTGCCCCTTTGCCAGGCTGCTTTCGGAACCCGATCCTGCTGCTAACGAAGGCAACGAGAGTTTTGTCATGCAGTGCAACACGAGCAAGATCAGGCCCTTTATGAATATTTCTGATCTCTATTTCAAAGTTGGTTAACTCTGGGACTGACCCGTATTCTCAGTGCCCGGGAGAGACAACCAGTCACGCTTGCTGTTTATATTTTCAATGCCAATTCCAGTTTCACAAAAGGCCATTTCTCACTGTCACCCGTGTGTGTCTGTTTTACTGAAAAACCAAAACCCTGTTTGACACAGAAGCTTTCAGCCAACCTGGGAACGGTTCCAACCTTGAACCAGAGTCAAGACTTTTGTATTCTCACATTTCGGTCGGAGCGTCTGCGTCACCCGTTCAAAAAGCTTCTGACACTTCGGAACAACCCCCAGGGCAGAGAAAGCAGGTGAGGGCTGCATGGACCAAATTAGTTAGGAGCCGATCGCTAAATATTTCCATCGTGTCAAGCCAGCGCAATTTATGTCCTTTCCCCTGGATTTGGAAGTTGGACTTACATGCAAGATGGGGTCTCTTCTGCTGTGACGTAGCGACATTTCCCTTTCACACAATAATGCTTGTACTCCTCCGGGCACTTGGAAAAATGGCTTCTCATCCGAAATTGGGTGATATTGTCTACAAAAAACAAGAGCACTTTTTCAAGAGGACACAAAACCAGGTTTAAGCTACAGGCAACCAACCTCACTGCCAGGCACCTTCCAAAACGCTTCCAGTCTGTGTTATTTAGGTGGACAAAAACCTTGGCTGTTTCTCTCAGATATCCCTATCCTAAAACAACCAACCAACACCACAAAAACCACAAACACAAAAAACAAAAGGTAAAATTCCAAGGGAGCCACATTGTCAAACCACAACCTGATAGCGGCAAGAGGATTAAAAGCCAAAATAGTTGAGCTTGAAGCATTGGCAACTGAACAGGGACTCAATAGAGCAGGCATTATGGGAACATGGTGGAATGACACAAATCAATAGGACACAATACCTGGCAACGGGAAAGATTAGTCAGAGATAGAGGAGCAGCTAAGTTGCTGAAGGATTCCATAAAATCTACAGGAGGGAAATTGACTGCACAGTAAAAGGTATATGGCCGCAAACCTCACATGACAGAAATATACATATGCTAGCAGATCTCCAGATCAGGAAAGACCAATGGGTGGCTTCTACTTCTCATAAAGACCCCAGTAGGGCAAAGATTGCCAAAGTTATTTCTCAACACCGATAAGGAGGGCTTCTCGGTACAGCTCATTCTCGAGTGTGCAAAAGAGGTGGCTGTTATCGACGGAGTCCTAAGTAACACAGGACTGGGTTCAATTATTTATTATATATTATTTAATAAGTCACCGTGGCTGGGCCATTAAGCAATAGTGATGGCCACATAACTATGTTCTAGATCTCTCGGGGGGAATCAAAGAGTCAGTCAGAAACCCCAAGGTGAAAAGGGAGGAAAGGAATTAAAATCTTAGGACAGAGGCTACTCACAGGGCCATGAATGAATCGCGGCAGAAATTCACGGCCCTGAAGAAACAGACCTAGCTATGGCGGAACAAAGAGATGCTAAAATTATGACGGCTCAGAGGGAAACGGAAGAACGTTTCTGGGACACTGCTAGGTCTCTACTTAGCTGAAAACAATGTCTCCTAGGGTAATACCAGGCCAAACAAACATTGCATCTTCATGGCCTGTCCCCATGCTATTCACCATCTCAAAACACCTGACTCCCAAGTCACTACAGTTCAAGTCCCAAGTCGAGTCTTAATTTAAAAAGTGTCAAGTCACTTTTGTACAAGACATCAATATCGGCATTTTCGGACAATTTTTTCACCAAGTCAATGTAACAAAATTAGCAAGTCTCAAGGTGAGTCTCAAGTCACAATGACCCCGAGTCGAGTCTCAAGTCGAGTCACCTAGGCAACTTCAGTCGGACTCGAGTTCAAGTCATGGGACTCGAGTCAACAACTCTGGTTAGAGGTATCTGTGCGAGCTAGGGATTGTAGTCTAGCTCCATGACAGAAGGATACAGCTTCCTCCAGGAACGGAAATCAGCAGGGGGAATTGCTACCAGTTTTCAGACAGGTAGGAATGGTGTCCCTTGTCTCTGTTTGCCAGAAGCCAGGAATGGGTGACGGGAGGGATCATGGGATGGTTCCCTCTTCTGTCCACCCCCTCTGGGGCTCCTGGCATTGGCCACTGTCGGAAGATGGGATACTGGGCTAGACAGACCGTTGGTCTGACCCAGCCTGGCCGTTCTGAGGTAAACGCCTCCACTGGAGTGCAGAACTGCATATGCTGGTTCAGGCAGAGTTCAAGGGGCCCAACAGGCGAGGACTGGCTTTTGCTATAAAGCAGCAGACAGACCTGACTCAGAGACCTCTTAGGACTAACAGTGAGAGCACGGCCCTACTGGAAAGGTTGGGAAGGACTGGAACGTGCATGCGCCTCCAAAGGAAAAACGGCTGACACCCAAGAAGCTTAGCAAGCGTACCTACTGTTTTCTGGGGTGTGACGTTGTCTCTGGCTGTTTTTGTCCTACGCAGACTGTGCTCTGTGAAAGATGGCAGGTCGCTGGCAACCCTGGCATACACCCAGGCCAGCAGAACTGCGTGTGCTAGATTGAGTCAGACCTGCTTGGGGAGAGGGCCCAGCTTAGTGAATGACAGGGGGTGCCACCCTAAAACCACCATCTGGAGGGAGATGGGAATCCTGCCACGCTGGTAAGGCAGGTGCCAGCTCTTGCCAAGCCGGTAGGCATTAGCTGAGCACTAACAAATTCAAAGCCGGAAAGCGGACCAGCTCACCTACATGATAACATCGCCCAGGATAGGCGTGAGATTTTAAGGATGGGTATAGACTATCAAGGGCTTTACGTTGATCTTCCCTGGGCAGAGCTCTGAAGTGTTGCAAGCTCCGAGTCCGAGTAGTTCCAGTGCTGTCAGCGTCTATTTCGGCCTCTTTAGCTGTTGCTTAGTTCCTTTACGGGAAGCTCTTCCGCCTGAGGCGCTTACTGGTTTGGCCTTGTTACGGTTACGCCGATTGATCTCAGAAAGCATCCAGGAGGAATGGAATGTCCAGGCCTTTTCTCAGTCCCTGCTGTAGTTGCTGGTCCCTGGCCACGGTACTTACCGAATAAGAAGTCTCGCCTCATCAGCCAAGCGAGCTACTGTGTAAATCCTCCGTCTACCAGGACAAGCCCCTCTCTGTGACTTTTTTTTGGGGGGGGGGGGGGTCAACAAAAAAATCCCTGGTGTTCCTCAAAAAAAATGTTTTGGTGTTCCTCAGTCTTAAAAAGTTTAAGAAACACTGAACTAAAGCAACCTTACCGGCAATCACCTCCGCCCCCTAGCTGGGATCAGGATGCTAGTGACGTAGCAGAACAGACACTAAGCTCTCCTCCACCCAAGAAGCTATCGTCACAAGGGTGAAGAGTTAATTCTAGTACAAAAGAATAATTAGTTTGGAGTGTCGCCTTACTGGGCTGATACTAGGCGATATTCTTACATGCACAACTCCAACACCCCGGGGGATTATGTTCTTAACAGCCTGGATAGCTCAACCTAATCACTCTCTTCCCGGTTTGCAAGAGAGGGACCCTAGTCCAAGAGACTGTATCCCAGCAGAACAGCACAGCAGCTAACCTAGTGCGCCCCACTGAGGTTTTTGGTGGATTCTATCTGCCCAGATCATACATTATAAACATCTGCCAATGACACCGTCACTGCAGAGCATTTTGAAATTCTGACATTTCATCCTTCTCTCACCAGCCCATAATCAGTAAGAATTTGGCTGACAGGAGGTATACAAAAATCAAGGCAGAAGAGTTAGTATTTTCAAGGCATATATTTAACATTTGCAATATCAATCAATACCACATTTGAATAAAAGGGGTATAAAAAGGAGGGGATTGGAGGGATTAACCTCAATCTTCATTTGAAACACTGCCCCCTACTTTTAATGGGAAAACACTGTCAAATATTACACACACATTCCAAATTTAATAATTCTAACACTACCTTAAAGCAAATACTTCATGCAAGCCGCATCTTCACTAAATGGAAGACTGACGCTGCTGGGATCGATCTTCTGGAGTTCAATTTAGCGAGTCTAGTTAAGGTCCAGGCCAAAATCGGAAGTTACTTTATCACAGCCTAAGAGCGCCTGGCCAGCTAGCTGTCCTGGTGCAACGTCCCAGGGTCGCACTGCGGTATCACCGGTATCCATTTCAACTCTCTCGGACTGGGGGTTCCGTGACTGCTGAAAACGTTACGCACTGTTCAAGTTCATGGCACAAGAGTCGGGCAAGTTCATCAGCGTCATCTAGTAATCTCCAAGGGCTGCTCGTTTGCAACCCTCCTCCATTTGTTGTGCAAGGACATTGTGGACTTCCTCATGCATGCTGGCCGTATCTCTTCTCTGCTGATGACCACAGCGTGGGGAGGAGGGGCAGTGGGGGCTCCCTGGAAGTGGGGGATGGGCATGCACTGGGTGCTGGCCCCACCCCTGGGGACTAGAGAACAGTTAAGTAACCGATAAGAATTCATGCTGTTGGTCGACAGTTCTATTACCCACTATCTAACATCCCCACTATGAAGATGACTTCTTCTGAAATATGTCTAGTTGACAACTCCATCAGCAGCTGCTTCTTCAGGTTACAGTTAGCCTTGGACACCCAGATGTCACCAGAGGCAGTGAACATTGACAATGGTACTGAGGGAGTGCCTGAGAGAAAAATATTCTTGGGGTCAACCTCCCATGAACTTGCTTGTAGGCCTAGCACTCTTGAATACGTAACATTAGTGTCAAAGAACTTTGTGGGACCACCCTCTACATACTGCTTCGTCCCTGCCAGCCTCTCTACTATCAGTAGTATCGTGTCATAGAATCCGGCAGATCAGATGCATTCGAACTTTGGCATTTAGCAAATTCCTGTTGTCACGAGTGTCGCTCTACATTAGGTTTAAGGAGCCCATGCATTGCTCTACCTTCTCACCAATGACTTCTGTATTCATGGCACCCGCAATAACCTTAGGCTTCATTTCTTCTTCGTGGCTCTTCTGCATAGTGTGTGGTTTTCACGTTCGTGTCTCTAGCCGTTCCGTATGGGAGGAGAAAATTTTCATGAGTGAATATGGAAGACTGTTAAGTGACCATGTTCTGAGTACAAAAATATACCTTCTGTCTAACTTTGAGTGCTAATACATCTGTCTTTTCCCTAAGTATAAAGACACAGACAACACACATGTACCCCCTAGCTAATTATGTTCCATGACAAAATATTAGGGAAGTTTTCATTAAAAAGGATTGAAATTCAATTAAAGTGATTTCGCTCTCACCTGCCTAATGAATCAGGAAGAGGTGGCAATAAGCATTCATATCTCAAAATGCTCAACGTGATGTCAGCAGGCAGTGACTTTGAATTTAGGGTCTTGAAATTCAGAATTCTCTCACGCCCAAACTTGCATTTGACAGCTGATCTCAAATACATCACCACCACGAGATCATAGCTATCAATGACATCAGGAAGGGCCGATGGGGGTATTTTAAACCACTTGGTGTTTAAAGGAGCGAGTTTGTCTTGTCAGAAGCAGCCGATTGAAGCTGCTCTCATTTTAAGTTGTAATACCAGCCTACAAAACAGCGGCCACCTGTCTGGGAAACCCAGAAAGAGGGAAAAGTAGCTGATCTTGCGACAACGCGGCAAAACAGGTGTCTAAAGTGGGAACCCCACACTGCCAGGGGAAAACATTCTAGCGTGGGCATGGCAAAGCAGCTGGAAATCAGTTCCTAAAATCATCCCATGACAGGCAACGCAGCGCCTTTCCCCAGCTCATTAAGCCTCCCATTATCAATGCATTCCGTACCGTCAGAGTTTCCTGGCATGGGCATTCACCGGTTTTATGGCTGCCATGAATCTAACTTACCTCTCCAACATAGTGCCACTCTCAGTGGGTAGGACTTCTTTAAAGGCCACTCTAAATCCTTCCTACATGTCCCCAGTGAAGATAAGTGTGGCCCATTAACAACGGGACGTGTGCATGCGGCATTAGGATCTCTCTCTTCACCGTGTAATGCTGCAACTGGAGGGATTTTCAGAAGCACGTATTCCTGAGCTGATTCTGCTCTCACTGAAGTCAACTCCGCATCACGAGTTTGGTGTGTCCTGCCCCATCCAGAGTGGAGGGCGGATATTTATGTTCCCCGTGGTCCCACCCTCACATCTGAGATGCCACGGCCCATTGGCCAAAGCCTGACTAGTCTCTGCCTTTAGGGCCACGTGGCCCAATGCCAGGATCAGCTGCAGCGGCCCTTGCCTTCAGAGCAGCGAGGCCTAGAGTCACTCACCATTCACCCACCCTTTAGGCCCCACCCTAGAGTCTTAATGGCAGAGGGTGGCCCACCACCAGGTCAGCAGGGAATTCAACCGTAACACGCTGACTGAATCGTGTGGGAGGTGCCACTCACTCGCCTTCTCTGGGTTACTTCCTAAACCTGTATCCTGAGGCTGTTGGGGTCATGGGACGCCACAAAGCAAATGCTCCAGGCCTTTCTGGGCGGTAGGCCCCATGGGCTGGCAGAGCTTCCCTGCCATTCTCAGGTCCGAGCATCCGCCCTGCCTGAGCTAAGTTACCACCTTTTATAGCCGCTCCCCCATTGGAGCATGCCCAGTAGGGCCTTCGGAGGCGTGGCCTCCTCAGCCCAAAGAGCAGGATTAACCCTCTCCATACCAGTGCAGGGCTGGTGCACCCCATCACACTCCCCTAGACTATGACAACAGCAAAGTGAGGCCAAAGCAGCTTTTGAAAACCCCATCTTTATATTTGTGCAAAATACAAATGGGGGTTTAAATATTACTGTTGCTGTTTATAGTTTCATTTCGGTAGAAACCTAATTTTTGCTGCAACTATGCTGTTTGTGCTAGTGGCTGAGACTTTGTCCTCTTGCTGCCACAGAAGTGTGGCCTGTACACATCCCAGTTCCTGCCATCAGCCAGGAGGGGAGTCAGTGACGCCCCCTTCTAATCCGGCATCTCTGTATCAGGCAAAGCAAAGTTAACAAGATCTTCAAACAGCGCCACTGCTGCACGGGGGAGATCTTGGGTGATTTCATGCAGGTGCTTTGTTCCATACAGGTGGGGAGCAAGGGCACAAAACTGAGCCTAAAGAAAAGAAGTGATTCCCTGTTATCAAGCTGTACCAGTTTGACTTCATCCGGGGAGAAAAGTAGCTTTTGACAAGGTGGCAAGAAGACACCAAAATAAACTGATTTTGCCTGGCTTAAATTTTTTTCACATACAAAAATCACACACACACACACACACACACACACACACACACACACACACACACTACCTCTCTAGTCCAGAACTCTCTGGTCCGGCAACATCCGTGGTCTGTCACAATTTTAGTTAGCCAGATGTCCACTTGTCATGGGTGTGGCCAAGTTTCCGGCAGGCCCATAAAGTTTGTTTACAGCCCCCCAGTCCTGGCTCTCAGTGTTCTGTGCTGTTCGTTAGCTCTAATTTACCCCTAAATGTCTCTAAGAGCCTGGCAAGCAGTGGCAGTGCTGGTAATGCTGCTAGACAATATTGACCTCCCGTGGTCCGGCAAATTCTCTAGTTCAGAACCTATGAGGTCCCAAGAGTGCCAGATTAGAGAGGTTCCCCACAGGAGTTTCTCTCCATTCTCCTGCTCTTTTCGAAGCACAATGCTACTAACCACATGCTCACAAGAAATGCGCCTGCATGTCAGGGAAGCAAGAGACCCGTGTTTGAGCAACGGCAATTCTCATACTTCAAGACCATCCTGGCTCGGGTGTATAAATCACATTGGAGTCAATGGGGCCCACATGTGCATATCAGAAGGCTAAAAAAACTGGGATGAAGGATATGCAGAAAGCGTAAGAAAGTGTCATCACACGGCAGTCATGGTTAACCAGCTCGGGGGACAGATTCCCTTCCTAGATACTACGAGCTGCATCCAGATGAGCAAAGCCAAAATGCAGCTACTGCTTGAACCTCTCTTGTCCGGCACCCATGGGACCCGACTGGTTCCGAACCAGAGAGTTTGCCAGACCATGGGAGGTCAATATTGTCTTGCAGCATTACCAACACTTCCACTGCTTAGAGGACATTTAAGGGTAAATTAGAGCTAAACAACAGCCCAGAACATGGAGAGCCAGGACAGGTGGCTGTAACAAACTTTATGGGACAGTGGTAAACTTGGCTACACCCATGATAAGTCGACATCCCGCTCACTAAAACCATGCTGGACAACGGCTGTTTCTAGACCAGAGAGTGCCAAACTAGAGAGGTTCAACCTATACTGCGCAACACTCGGAGAAGGCTGGAGACCCCAGTGGCACATTCCATAACCAGCACCTCACGTCAGCTCAGGGACGTGGTTTTGAGTTCTCCCTCCCTCGATGCAGCAACAAAACAGCCTGACCGCAAGGGAGTCTAGCAGGACGATGGCCAGCGTGGCACACGGGCCAGGCTATCAGAGACAGGACAATTCAACCTATACTGCGCAACACTCGGAGAAGGCTGGAGACCCCAGTGGCACATTCCATAACCAGCACCTCACGTCAGCTCAGGGACGTGGTTTTGAGTTCTCCCTCCCTCGATGCAGCAACAAAACAGCCTGACCGCAAGGGAGTCTAGCAGGACGATGGCCAGCGTGGCACACGGGCCAGGCTATCAGAGACAGGACAATTAGTGAGAAAGGGTTTGTACAACGGAATCCAGACCATTTGCCGCATCACCAGCTGTATTTCAGGAGCCGTACGCAGAGCTGCAATGTCTCCAAGGCAGACAACAAGGGGCTCGTTCACATCATCTTTCCTTTCCCGATCACAAAGACAACGTTATTAAAATCCAGTTGCAGACGCAGTAATAGCTATTGGGGGCCTGTCTGCCCCAGAAATCAGCCCATGATGGCCACTGGCCCTGACTGTTTGCAACACCTGGCCAGAAAGCACCGCCGAGACCTATCCCGACTGTACCTCTTCAACTCAGCGGTATGTTTTTAACCAATCGGCATCTTGTCATAACTCAGCGTTACCTGTACAGTTCTCCGGAGAGCTGCATAGGAACCCCTTTGCGCCGTAGTCAGCAGTCCCGTTCCAGCTGGCACCCACACAGCTGAAAACTGCTAGGCCTGCAATTAACACAAAAATAGGTTACCCCAGAGTCTTCAAAGGGCTCCGATTGCTCTGGGTAGGTGCAGGGTGCATCCCACCCTCTGGGAACTGGAAACCCACAAGCAACCCTCTCCTAACTCACATGTATTTCTAATTGATGTCAGTGGGGAATTTCACCGACAGATCAAGAGCGACAGAGGGGAGCCAAGTTAGTATGTAACTGGAAAAACTTAAAAAACTACTAAGTCCTCATAGACTTTAAGGTCAGAAGGGACCATTATGATCATCTAGTCTGACCCCCTGCACAGTGCAGGCCACAGAATCTCACCCACCCTCTCCTAGAATAATCCTCTCACCTAGATCTCAGATATTGAAGTCCTGCAGCACCTTAGAGACTAACACAACACGTAGATGGTATCATGAGCTCGCATGCAGGGCTGGCCCAAGCCATTTTGGTGCCCCAGACCCCAGGCGTGCGGCACCGCCCCCAGGGCACACGGCCCCACCTCTGGGCACATGCATGGGCCCGCCCCCAAGACATGTGGCCCCGCCTCCAGGCGCCCGACGCATGCATGGGCCCGCGGCTGCGGCAGTGCAGGCAATTGAGCATTGTTCTCCACAGTCCCAAGTGAGAACTCAGGGCCGGCTCGAGCCATTCCTGTGCCCCGGGCAACGGGCGCGCAGCGCATACACAGCTCCGCTCCCATGTGCATGGCGCATGTGTGGACCTGCTCCCTGGCGTGCTGTGCACCTTACAGCTGCAATTGGGTATACGGCACCTGATTGCAGCTCTAAGAGGTGCCACACAGCCCCCGGCACGCGCCTGATTGCAGCTGTAAAGGGCATTGCGTGGCCAGGCGTGCAGTGCCCCTTACAGCTGCCTTCAGGCGCCCCTCCCCCATAGGTTGGCACACTGGGCAGCTGCCCGGCCAGTCCACCCCTGCTTGCGTTTACACGACCCATTTCAGTGCCTTTGAAGACTCCAACCCCAGGTGACTCCTTGCCCATCGCTGGCTACCCTTATGCACCGTGGCACGCCACTGTTTAAAGAGTCAATAGGCGCCATCACGGATCTATTTCCCACGTTACTTAGCAAGAGCGTCACACCTACAGCATTGGCGTTACAAGCGGGAGATCCGTCGGATGAACGGCATGCCCCTGGAAACGCACAGCAGAGTACCCAGCTAGTTAACACATCACCTATTGCGCGTACGTGCCTTGCCGTGTTTTCTGCCTGGCTTGCTGTGCTCCGGCACTGATCCAAGATAATTGCAGGGGAAGGGCTAAAGAAACAATTCTTTTCCTTACATGAAGCCTGCCACAATAGCATCCGTGGGCCCAGGGAGGAAGGGGGGACTGACGAGTTACACCTGTTCCAAGAAGAGACGGCTCCCTCCCCTTCCTCGGCGCCGTGTCCTCGGAGCGCGGTCTCGGCTGGGCACGAATGGTCGGGGGGGAGGGGAAGGGAGCCCGTCTGCCAGCCAGCGTGTGGTGCAGAGGGCAGGGCTGCTGGTCTGCAGGTGGCTGTGTGTGTATGCCAGTCGCCCTGGGAACAGACCGCACCCTCCCCAGGCATGCCTCTCCTGAATGAGCACGCTGCAGTGGCACGAGAGAGAGGCAGTGGCTGGTGGAAGCAGGAGGCTGCTCCGAGCACATGTAGCTACTCTAAACCTCCACACCCACAGCCAGAGCAATGCAGGCTGGGGCTCACTTGCCAAGGCTGCTTCTCGGCCGGTGGGAAGCCTGTGGTAGCTTCTGCCCGCGTCCTCCTCCCCCGCCTCCCTGTGGGCTGGGGCGGAGGAAGAGGTGGGTGGATCCGCATGGCAGATTCCGGCTCCTCACCGCCCCGCCTGCCTCCAGCTCACTGGCACACACAACCCAGCGCCCTGCAGGCCACGCAAGTTGCTGGCACGGCTCCCTGATCCCCTACAGACACGGGCGACGCTCGAGACACGGGGGCAGAACCATCCCCTCACTGGTGCCCTTTAAAAAAAATGCACGTAGATACTGAGACACGGACCTGGCATTGCCCGGGGCAGCGGGGACCACGCAGCCTGCCCGCTAGCTTCTACCCAGGCCTGGCCCAGGGTGGGCGGTAGCCATGCAGGCCATCTACCTGGTAGTAGGGATGATCCTGTTTAATTGGTTGGAGTGGAGTGGGCTGGAGTGCTTCTGCCTGCGACAGTCCCCACGGGGCTGGAGCTGTCCTCTGCCCACGGGGAGCTGCTCCAGCCCCCATCGGTTAACTGGAACAGATCAGCATCACCCTTTAAGGTTAAGGGTGATGCTCATCAGTTAAGCTTTCACATCCCTGCTGGTGTCTCCCCTGGGCCAGCCCTGGGGCGCTTACTGCCCCCCGGTGGTCATTTGTGAGTATAGCTGTCCATGCTCTTACAGCCCTCCCTTTCCATTTTATGAGAAACAATCCCATTCCAGGCACATCCCATTGTCCTGGCACAACCAAACCCTGACCTGGCTTTAAGTCAGGAGAAGAGGAAGCTGCCTACCAAATTTGGTGGCCCTCGCTCTTGCTGTTTAGGAGGAGCTCTTCAGCACCGACAGACGCACAAACTCTCTAAAATAAACGGTGATTGAGTGAGTAAATCTGCCAACAAAAACACTAAGGCAGGGTAACTGGGAGAACGAAAGAATTTAGACTCTTGGGCTACGTCTGCACTGGCAGCTTCTTGCGCAAGAACTCTTCCACAAGAGCACGTCTACGCTGCCATGTGCTTTTCCACAAGAGTATCCATGGCAGTGTAGACGCTCTCTTCCGCAAGAAAGCTCTGATGGCTATTTAACCATTGGGGCTTCTTGCGCAAAAAATTCATGTTGCCTGTCTACACAGCCCTCTTCTGAAAGAGCTCTTGTGCAAGAGGGCTTATTCCTTGTGGGGAGAGGAATAACTCTTCCGGAAGAAGCCCTGTTTTCCAACGCTGTACTGTAAATTTACTTCTGGAAGAACCCTCGTGCAGTGCAGACAGTCGGCAAGTTTTTGCAGAAGAACGGCTGTTCTTCCACAAGAAGCTGCCAGTGTAGACGTAGCCCTAGCGTACAGCATGTGAGGTTCAGTGCTAAGCAACAGCAGGACCTGAAGCATCATCTTGGACACACGATCCTGCACATGGCAAGCCCCATGAGTAACCTGCAGCCCAACAAAGCCAAGTCACTAGAGATCTTGCATGTCTACTTTAAGGCACCTTTGGTTGACCTGATTTTCAAAGGGGGAGCACTTAGAATTTTCTGAACAACCCAGCTCTTCGCAAGGCCCTTCCAATAGGCTCTAAAATTGAAGGCAGCCAGAATTGTTAGCCGCTTCTCAAAAATCTTGGTTTAAACGTCTAACAGGACTCCAATTCAGGAAAATAAAGCCATGTGAACCTGTAATTGTAACCGGGCAGAACGCTCGTCTCTCCTGAATTGTTAATACAGCAGCAATCCCGTTCCAACCGACAGGTCACAGATCTACCCCCAAAGGGTCAAATATAGAGCCAGTCCGCTCTCAGGGAGCCTTTCCCACCTAGTATTTCCCACCCAATCTATCCCAAGGCAGTGCTGCTGTAAAGCTACTGCTTGCAGCCTGACTTCATTGTCAGTTCCATGCCTAGGGCACAGCCCTGCACATGCCAAGCCCCCTGACTAACCTGGCTAGGATGAGAACATTTCCTTGCTCCTGCAACGGTCAGCAGAGAGAATCATAGAACACTAGAACTGGAAGGGACCTCGAGAGGGCATCAAGTCCAGTCTCCTGCCCTCACAGCAGGACCAAGCACCATCTAGAGCACCCCTGGTAGGTGTCTGTCGAACCTGCTCTTAAATATCTCCACTGACGGAGATTCCACAACCTCCCTGGGCAATTTATTCCAGTGTTTAACCACCCTGACAGTTAGGAAGTTTTTCCTAATGTCCAACCGAAACCTCCCTTGCTGTACGCGTCTTGTCCTATCCTCAAAGGCCAAGGAGAACAATTCCCTCCCCTCCTCCCCGCCCCCCCCCATGACACCCTTTTAGATACATGAAAACCGCTATCACGTCCTTAAAAAAAGGAATAAGGGATCTTCCGGAAAAGGCTTTATTTTCCGAAAGATCCCCGTCTAGACTGGAGCTTTTTTCCGGCAAAGCCCCGAGCCGGAAAAAAGCGGCAGCCATGTTTATGCAAATGAAGCAGGGGGGATTTAAATCCCCGCTTCATTTGCAATTGCGACGTGTCTAATTTGCATCCCTTTTACGGAAAAGGGATGCAGTCTAGACACAGCCTTCATGTTGTCTAGATCTTTCATCATTTTTGTTGCTCTTCTCTGGGCCTGGATGACCACTGGTTTGATTGACTTCAGGCTGTGATGCTTTCTCTCCGCCATAGACCTGGGGTGAGACCTCAGGGCAAAGCTCCTTCCCTCCCATGATTTTCCATGAGCACTTCAGGGCAGGGGCTGGCCTGTACTACGTGAGCACGACACCTCGCACCAGGGAGCTCTGACCTGAGACAGCCAAGTGCTGTTGTCAGACCAAGCACAGTGACTGAATTTTTACTTGGCATTTTAATTCAACCTGCCGTTCCCAACTGACCCCGCACTCTGCTTAGACAGGTAGTGAGGGCTCAGGTCAGTAGCTTCTTACTTGAGCCCAACTGCCACCGAAGCCAGTGCGAGGGCTATCAGAGCAAAGACAAAGGGACAGATGACTACAGGGGATCAAGGCTCCAGTTTTCATAGGACTGTAGCAGCATATAAACATAAGAACGGCCATACTGGGTCAGACCAACGGTCCATCTAGACCAGTAGCCTGTCTGCCCACTGTGACCAGTGCCCTGGAGGGAATGAACACACAGGAAATCTCTCTCATGCTACTATTTCCCAGCTTCTAGCAAACAGAGGCTAGGGACACCATTCCTGCTGCTCATCCCGGCCAGCAGCCATTCCACAGACCCATCTTCCATGAATGTATCTTAGCTTTTTATTGAACCCTGATAAAAGTCCTGGCCTTCACAGCATCCTCCGGCAAGGAGTTCCACGGGTTG